GGAGTAACTAATGTAAGTGTCAATTTCTTCTTTCACACACTATATTTGGGGAAACACGTTTGATCAGTTATGCGCGATGAGATGACCTCTCCACATTTACCGTTGGAGCTTGAAGGCGATGATTTGCTAATCACATTTTATCAATGTAAACACTGACTCCTTGCTGAAATTAGCAGGTGGTCGGTCGCAAAACCACCACCATGCTTCAATGTTGGCATCGTGTTCTTTTTAATCAAATGCTGTGCCATTTCCCCACCGGATGTTGGATCTTGGTACGATGCATCTGTTTCTTGAACTCTTGCAGCCTACTTCTCTTTGTCTGACGTGTGCATAAACAAGTTTGTGTGACGTGTGTAAACAAGTTAACAGTCGCTCATTTGACGTTGCAAACTGCGCTGCGAAATCACTTGAGTGAATTGCATCTGTCCTCCAAGGTCAGCTCTCCTGGAAAGTCTTTGAACCTGTACCCGTCTAATGAATACGAGGTTTTGCCCAATGGGAGTGAAGCGCATTGGGAAGTGGTGGAGCGCATCCTCTTCATCTATGCCAAACTCAATCCTGGGATTGCTTATGTCCAGGGCATGAATGAAATTGTTGGTCCAATCTACTACACCTTTGCCACAGACCCCAACAGCCAATGGAAAGGTAGGTGGTTAACATTTCGTTCAAGTGAAACAATTTGTTGAACCGTGGACACATTTAGTTGAGGCACAGTTATTTGACAATAATTCATATTATGTGAAAATGTTGATTTGAAGCCACTGGAAGGTCAAAGTCAACACTTGTACTGACTTTTTATTGCATTTGTAATCTTGAAATAGTGTTCTTTTTTTTCGTTGCAGAACATGCAGAAGCAGACACATTCTTCTGTTTTACCAACCTCATGTCAGAAAACAGAGATAATTTCATCAAGAGCCTGGATGATTCCCAGTGTGGCATAACATACAAGATGGAGAGTGTGTACTCAATGCTCAAAGAAAAAGACCAGGAGCTCTATTTCAAGCTTGTAAGGATACAAGAAAATGTTCTCAGTTCAGTTTGTCTTCCCGCCTAAATCACGGGTGCCCGATATGTCCATCACAATCGACTGGTAGCCCGCGGACTGTCAATCGCGAGGGGTGAAGGGGGAAATGGGGTGTGGGGAAAAGATTCTTTTTGTCATTAATGATGTGTTTCTCCTTTTTCCTTGCACATAGCTAGAAC